GTGGTGACATTTAAAAGCTGCAAGTGCATTAGTGTGAAACAAGGATCGAGGCGCCGTCTAAATTACAGAGCCTCACACACATACACACTCTCACACACACACACACATACAAACACACGCACGCACACTCGCACGTATGTAGATATACACTCACACGGACATCGCGATCAATATCAAGTACCATTTTCAACGCTTCCTTTGGCGCCACATTTCTGAGGTGGAAGTGGAACCCTTTCTCAGCGCCGTCGCAGCTCAGATCATTTTGCCCATGTGCATTTCAAGATGCAAACGTGTACAAAAAAACGAAAAAAATAAATAAAACAAAAAGTCCGCAGCGCCGACGATAAGCAGAGACACAGAAATATGCACAGAGTGCTGGTGACTCCAGATCCAGAGTTCCAGTATAGACCGAGTGCTATCCTGCGCAGCCAGCTGAACTCTTTTCGGGTTCGTCTTCTTTGCCGTTTGTCTCTTGTCTTGTGTTTCTGTTTCGATAAGCGCCGCATCTTCAATCTTCCTCTACGGCCATGGCAACGGCGGCAGCGGCCGCGTCGGCGGCGTCTGCGTCTCGTTCGTTGTTGCCCAAAGAGCCCATCATCATCATCTGTGATATGCTTTACGCGGCAGAGTATCCATTAGTTGAGTCGCCGTCGCCGTCGTCGTCGTCGTCGCCGTTGCCGTCGCGTATTGGGCAACGGAGATAATGTGATTTTGGGTTCGAAATGGAACGAGACGCGCGTGAGTTGTGATAAGCACCAGAGACAAGGGAATACCTTGCCGCATCGTTCCCACTCCCTCGCTCCCTAACCCGCTTGGTTGACCGTCGCTCGCTCGCTCGAGGCAATCTCATTTTGTATTTCGTGTGAATTCTTGGAATTTCGATATTTTTTCCTAGAACTCGAACGATTGCGTGTGTGTGTCTTGCAGTTGATACGGCTTTTGTGACGTCACCTGCGCGTAGAGGTTGCCTGGACTTGGCTTAAATCGAAGCTTTTGTGTGGCTAAGTGGGCCTGATGTTAATATTGAAAGTTGTGCTAATGCTTATATATAGATTAAAGCTAATATGTAGCCTACAGTTGTTACATGTTTATAAAATAGGCTTTAACGTACGATCTACAACTTGTATGTGTATTTCATCTTAGCTAGAAAACGACAATTAATGCTATTTAAAGAGTATGCTGATAGTTTGTGACTAAATATGGCCACAATAATAATGATGTTGATTGTTGTAGTTTTTGGTTCAAACTTATTTTCAAACAACTTTGTGAAAATGCAGTTCAGACGTTCTTTACATGACGGAACTAACATGGGTGGAAAATGATGATTCCAACTTTAGTCGCCGAATTCGATTCAGCCTGACTTTCAACTAACTTTGTGTAATATTTTTGCATAATAAGCCGGACAACAAATTTTAAGCAAAAGACTAGCATCTAGAAATAGCAGCTAGCTTGTGTATATTAGAGTAATAATTTTTGAAAACAGTTGAAAGTTCATGTGTGCATATAAACAGGAAACGTGTCTTAAGCAATGCATCTTACCATAATATTATTCAGAAATGAGCAATTGTAATAATATTAATAAAATATATAATATATAAAAATCCCAGATATGTTGTACTATTACATTGAATTCGTCAATATCTCAAATAAGCCTTACTATATACGATTGTTACATAAATTGGTTGTTATGTAAATGTAATGAAAATGTACAAAGATTCAATATGCGCATTAAAAATTTGTTCTTGAAGAGGCAAATTTGTTGGTACCTCGCGTTCTGCGAGGTCTTATAAACTCAACTTTGAGAAATCTTTTGTCTATAAATTTGACTTAAATTTAACTTTTGAGCTGCAGCTTTACGGAAGATTCGCTGTCTCTCTCTCCCACTCAGAACTGGAAACCTTTGCTCGTTGGCGGCGGCGTCTGGCTATCTTCTTTTATCTATTTTAACTGCGCGTTGTTAAAGCGCATTTTCGTGTCGTTTGTCGATTTGTAATGCCGAGCAACGATGATGGCAACTGGGATGCAGTCGGGATGCATTTCGGCCAGCAACCAACCACCTCGAACGGGCTAAGCTCTCTTGAAGCGGCTCGGACGCTTTGAAGTTGCCTAAGTGGCGCCTGTAAGCCCGCTTGGTTCGTGGCGGGTTCAAAAGGCCGACTTGGTTGGTGGTCAAACACATGGCTGACATGTTTCACTGGCTAATTAAATGCAGCCGAGCCGGACAGCTTGTACACTTTATGTTGGCCTTTATCGGGGCATGCCCTGAGCAGGTATCTCGTCCATGTCTATCTAAACAATAAACAAACGCATCTACTATTTATTATTATTATTATTATTATTAAATTGTGTGCGTACATGTGCAAATGCTTGAATGCGGTGCTATTAGCTTAATAGAAATTCAAATGCATGCACAGCCACAGAGATTAGCGCCAAGTCCGCCCTCTCTGACTCTCTGTCTCTCTCTCTCTCTCTCTCGCTTTCTGGGTCTATCTCCCTGTGGCCCCGCTTGGCTCTCTCTCTAACAGTTGTAAGTCTGTCATAATTTTGTGCGATAGTGTCACCAGGCACAAGTGTGCAATGTGCTCGGCATCTGACAACCATGTGGTTGGGTTCGGGACGGGGAGTTGTGTGGGGGGAGGGTGTGTGAAAAATGGCGCCCCGCTGTCCTATCTTGTCGCCTGTCACATTGAATTATTATTTTATGGTCGGCTTGGTCGTTTTTGCCGTTCTAGAATCGCAATTGGCCAAGAAATGGAACAGGTTCACTGGCTGTTGCCTCTGCCAGCCATCAAGTAGCCGCATTACCACAGCTCGCTAATGTTTTCATTTGTTGCAGCAGAACGGCTCAGAGCGGTCCACCTAAACAAGTGCGGCCTTAATTTAAGACCATTGCAATGGAACTGCCTGTAAAGAACGCACTAACATCAAATCCCAGGCGAGTGTATGGATGTTGTTGGCCATAGTTACTCAGTGCGATTTTAAAATGTTTACAGCTAAATCTAAATATAGTTAATAATAATAATAATAATTAAAATAATAATTATGATAATAATTATAATAATAATAATAATACAAATAATAATAATAATAATAATAATAATAATAATAATAATAATAATAATAATAATAATAATAATAATAATAATAATAATAATTATTATTATTATTACAATAATTATAAGAATCATAATGAAATATTTTCTTCTTTAGCTAAGGATATGCATGCTCTAAGCAGTAAACTCTTGTAAATTTTATTTATATTTTTAAGATATAGACATATTCGAACTATTTCTTTAAATGTCGGTATATAAAACTATTTTTGCTGACTGACTCACTCGTGAAGTACATAGTCACAAAAGCTGTAGGAGATGGGAGGTTGCTTTTTACTTAAGATGTGGTTTCCTTTAATATTAAAGTGGATAAAATATCTTAAATAATATTGCATATTATTCTTAACCTGATGCTGGCCATAAGAGCTGGAATGTTGGTTTTTAATTAAGATGGGGTTTCCGTTGGTTTAATGAATGCAGAAAAAAGCTTAAATAATATTATATACAATTCATAATCTCATAATTTTCAGCACAAAACATGATCTATTTAAACGATGCTTTTAACATTTTACATTTTTTATTTGCTGTTAAACCCCTTTTACTAATTTTGCCAGCCGCATGCGGTTAAAAGTATAAGGTATTGCACATCCACATATATGCATATATTGAATTTCGGAAGGAAAAACCTGATATTGCTGATTTGAGTCAGATACTTGTCTGCTAGCAGCCCAGCTGCCTCATCTGACTGTGCCAAGTCAGTTTGATTTGTTTTCGCTGGCTTAAACACAACAACAGCATTAGGCTGTATTTCGTGTGTTTATTTTTATCATGGTTACATCAGAGATAAGCTTAGACGGAAAAGCAGATAGAAGCCCCAGTTGACTGTTTGGCAAAATACTTCGCAACTCCCACTCAGTGGCAACAAATAGTTTCTTCTGCCCTGTCCACCAATACGAAGCCACATGCACTTGCACAACCCTGCGGAGCGCATAATTTGTGCAAACACATTCCAAAGCTGCCGCTACTGCTGGTTGCGGTCTCGAGCGTCTCATTACTCATCCAAGCACTCGCATTCGCACCCAGCCGCAACCCCTCCTTCAGCCAGTAGATGCTATGCCGCGGCGGCGAGACTCGGGACTTAAGATACTTGGAGCGCCGGCCAGCGAACGCTAATAAAAGCGGTCGTAAAACAAGTTTGCCTAATTGATCGAGCGTACGCCAAAAAAAAACCAAAAAAAAAAACTAAATAAATATATATGAAAAGGAAAGGAGACGAGGCCGTGGACGGCAACGAAGATGCCTCAGGCCAAAGAAAATCAGACAAAGGCAACGACTGGAACTGGAACTGCAACTAAGGCCAGTCCACGGTCCACGTTCACATCAAGGCGTTAATATTATACCAAGCTTGCGCCCGCTCCTCCTTCTGCTTTAAGTCCCAATCGGCCAGGCATTTTTGCCATACCATCGACGACACTTCAAAGGCAGCGCCACTTGGCGGTGGCGTTACTCCGCGGCGGCGTTGTGCGTCGGACAGGCTTTTAAGCGATGACACCAAATCGCTATTTAGACACTGGCCCGACTGAGCCGATGAGCCCGAGGCCGAGGCCGAGCCCGAGACCGAGCCCGTGACCGAGCCGGAGCCCGAGCCCCAGCCCTAAGCTGGAGCACATTGTTGGGCTTTCTTTGGGGCCGTCGCCTTTTCACTTACTTGTTAAGATTTTATGGTCTACCCTGAGCTGTGGTCCGTAGAGGTCATTAAAATTAATTTGGATCAATTTGGTTTGCTGCCAAATTGTTGACAATGAAATATAAAGGCTTGGCCCGCCAGGTGACAATGCGGACGACTCCATGTCCGCCGCACAGCCAGCTCTTGGTAGAGTCATCAAAAGTCTTAAGTGTCGTGCGTTTACAACTTATTTATTTTTTTAAAAATGAGCTTAAATATACTATATCGTAGGCATTTGACGGTCTTATGATTTTTGCTAAATTAACTCTAATAGATACACACACACATCTATTTATAAGAAATATATAGTATACTCATAGTTGGTATATGATAGACCTTATGCATGGCTCTCAAATCATTTGGAATAATTTGTAGCATGTAGTTGACTAAGGGGAAGAGGAAGACAAATAACTACCTGCCTTATAGATGAAAAAATAATTTGGCTCAGAAATATTTAAATTTACAAGTTCCATTTTGCGAAGTCAATTATAGAACTTTTAAGGGAAAAACAAATCTCCATTTAATTTAATATATATATTTTGCTTTAGGATTTTAAAACTTTCCGTTTTCTTACAATTTAATATAAAAATTTTTGAAAGGAAACAAAAATCTCCTGTTAAAATTTACTGACTCGCTGCAATCAGAAGTTTCATTCATTCAGTAATACATAAAATATTTCCATAGAACATAGGACATAGATGAGTTAAGCAACACATTAAAAACTTAAAGCAACGAACTGGAACTAATTCTTTTAACATTCAATAAATGTGCTACAACAGAATTTTAACAAATTCTTTTCACATTAGGTACCGTAGCTAGTTCCAAATTGGCCTCAAACAGAAGCAGAGCTTGTTCTATTTTCGAATATTTTCTAACTGGGATATTTTCGACCTATCTACGCTTATACAAATAATTTATCAATCGTAACATTTTGGTGAAGTTAAATAGTATGTAGTTTAGTTATTCGAAGATCGTTCAGGCAGACCTGTGCGTGTTATGACGCTTGGAGTCAGCTCGCTATTAGAACTGCGCCCACTTTCGATTGGCGGCACACTGTGAAGGAAATATAGCATTTAAAATGGAATTGGGCTTGTATTAAATTTACTTACGACTGCGCAATCTGGCGATTCAACGTGGTCGAATTTGGCAGATGAGGCGATTGACTCTGGTCCGGAGGTTGCTGCTGCTGCTGCTGTTGCTGTTGTTGTTGCTGCTGGCTGTAGGCCGAGTGGCTCTCGCTAGTCACATGGTGACGGGACATGTTCAACGTGCCATCGGAAGTTGGCGCTGTGGGATTTAACGCAATGGCCACCACACGTGATCCGGCGGCGGGGCCTGTTGTGGACATATCGTGCAGCTCGGGACTTGTATTTTGTTGGCTGTTCAGCAATCCCACTGTAACCTGTGACGGATACAGCTGGCTACTGTTTACCATCAAATTAACACCCTGTGACATGCCTGAAAAATGCAAAAAAAAATTTACATTTCATTTAGCTTCAATAATCAAAATGTAGTAGATGTTCATATGAGAATATTAAGTCACTTAATTCGTGATAACGTAAGATTTAAATTATACTTGTTAAGACCTTTGGTGTTCATTATTAATTGTATTTTGCCTTCAAACTACATTTTTATTTAAATAAAATTAATTTAATATATTTTTTTCATAAATTCTTGTAAGACTTACAGATTTACTAAATTAATTGACTTACTAAAAAATTGTTAATTATTTTCGGTTGTGATTGTAATCTAATCATTTTTTTTTTAGCTCACACTAATTTACTTCCCCTCTCCCACTCTGTAATCGTATCCATCGGCCTTTCACTCCCTTGCTTTCTATTTTATTCATCATATGTATAAATAGCATTGCACAAATTGATCAAATAATCAAATAATATTGTGTAAGTACACACTTAGGTATATATTTGTACATATAAAGAAGAATATATAATATATCCAAGCTATAATACATATGTATGTAATTGGGAATAAATTTATGAAAACTAATGACACTTAAATTAATATCTAGAATGAGATAGACTATAAATGTATTTTGGCCATTTCAGGAAAATAGTGAAACCAAAAACACTGAAAACCTCCTTAAACCTTCAGCTACTGATCTTATTCTATTATATTAAAATGAAAATGTGAAAGAAGGGGCCCCATAATAAATGTTTGTATTCTTGGCTATATCAGTCTTTCCCTCCGGTAGTCTAGAATATCTAGATACTATGATTTGAGAAGTAGGCTATGATATACCAAAATATCGATATCTCCATCTATGTCGCAAAGGTCAGTAAATATCGATTCGCAACGCTGGTTTGAATGTCAGACAGATCAGATTACTCACTTGGAAGTGCTCGATGGGGTAGAGGTCCTCCATTGTTCTTTGGCTTGCGCTTGCGCTTCTGTATGCCGTCCTTCTTCATGGAGAGCGGGCGGTTCATGTTGTGCAGTTTGAAGTACAGACCGCAAGCATTACAGACGGGATTGCCCTCGTTGTTCCGCCGCCAGAGCGTCGTGGAGTTGGTGTGGCAGTTGGCGCAGATGACCCCACTGCGGCGATTGTTGGGCGCAGCGGCTGCCTTCGGCTTTTGGCGCTGTGGAACATGCCGACCGGCCTGGCCGCGTACATAGCTGGTGCAGTTTGGACAGTTGGGCCAGTCCGTGCCTTTGCGCACAAACGGTGTCTGGCAGGTCTCGCACTTAAGCTCCTGCAGTCCGTGTGTGGAGGGCGACGTGGCATTGGACGCTGTCAGGCTGGGATCATAGCTGCTTATGCTGCCTGCTGGCGGCCAGTGAGCGGCGGGCATGTTGCCGGTGGAATAGTCATCAATTACCTGCGTAGGATAGTTCGACTGCAGGTTGGCCAGGGCGTTAAGCTACAATTGGTGCGTACTGCTAGGTGCTATACTTACAAAGGACACATTCTGATATTCGCCGCCGGCCGTGGTCCACAAGCCCGCATCAGTGGCATTGGTGCCGTCCAAGAAGGATATCGTTTGATATGGTCCCGCCGTTTGCCTCAATGGATTCAAGTTTGGATCGGATTTGGTTATAAACTGCGCCGTTCCTGGCACACTATAAATGGTGTTGCCTTGCTGCAGCGTGGCTGCCGCATAGCTGTTGCTGCTGAACGTCGAGTTGGGCGGAAAGGCATACGCATTTCCCAGATCCGCATATGTCTTGGACTCGTTGGGATGCACGCTGGCATCCACAACGGATGCATCATAGTACAGATTGCCGCCAGGCGCCTCTGCATCCCCGCTGGTGGTGGTAAAGCGTCCATCCTCTGTCACATAGCGCACATGGGTGTGAGCAGCGGCGGCTGCTGCTGCTGCTGCGGCAGCAACTGCTGCTTGCTGATGTTGTTGCTGTTGTTGCTGCTGGTGCTGCTGATGTTGATGTTGTTGCTGCTGCTGCTGCTGGTGATGATGCTGCAGTGCAGCCTCGCTGCTGACCACAATGGCATCACCATAAGGTCCGCCATTGGGGGTGGGGCATTGCTGTTGTTGTTGCTGCTGCTGCTGTTGGTGTGCGTGCTGCTGTTGCTGCTGCTGTTGCAGGTGCTGAGCTTGCGCATCGCCTGGAACATCGCTCTTGTCGATGTTCTCTATTTTAATGGGCGTGCCATCATCACTGCTGCAAATAAGTTGGCCCGAGGGGTAGGCATAAAGCGTGCCGGGTGGCGCATTGGCCACCTGTTCGGCCACCTCGACTGCAGTCCGCGGCGCCATTTGAATGTAGTGGGGTGAGTGATGTGAGCTGCGCTGATACTCAATGTGGGTCTCTGGCGCTGAATTAGAGCTGGCGCTGCTGTTGTTGGTGCTGTGTTCCCCGTCCCGTGTCTCGCTGCGGAGGTACATGAATTTAACAGTTTTTACAGGGTATGTTAGAAGTTTGTTATGTGTCTACTTACAGTGTGCCCGCTGTGGTGAGAATGCGTCGCTGTTGGGTGCGTGGCACTACGACATACTGTGTCTGCTGCTGTTGCTGCTGCTGCTGTTCTTCGGAATCGCTTGGCTGGCTGTTCGTCTGCACCAAAACGCCAACTGTTGGGGGCGGCTGCTGTTGATCCTGCTGCTCCTCCAGCACGCTGTTGGCCTGTGGATCGTTGCCGTTGCTTGTCTCAATTTTGATTTTGTCCAGCAATTGCAGCTGCTGTTTGCTAAGCACCTGTTGCTGTTGCTGCAGTTGTTGCTGTTGTTGCTGCTGTTGCTGTTGCTGTTGCTGCTGTTGCTGTTGCTGCGGCGTCGTCTGCGCTTCCATCTGCAATGGCCAAGGCACAAATGATGAATGGATAACTTATTATTGACAGCTTGTTGTCAAAAGTGTGACTCCAGTTCCGGCCACACAATGCGAACCTGGCCGGCCGCCTCTATTTCCGCCACACAGAGTCAACAAGCGCAAAAACAAAAACCCAATACCCCCAGACTGAGACCCACAGCCGGCAACGGCAATGTTCAAAGGTGCCGCCCAGCTCAGCGCTCAACTCACAGCTCGCAGCTCAATTTGTCGCCTACAAATCATAAAATACAAAATGCGAGTGCCGTTCTGGCCCGACTTGCACTCTTGTGGCCTGCGCCTGAACCTCTCTGTTTGCTGTCTGCCTCCTCATCGATGTTGTGCTAACACACACCACACTCCACACACCACACACCGCAACACATTTTTCACTTTTCCAAATTACAATGCAACAAACTGTGGCTCACTCGTCACAGAACTCAGTTTCGTTTTCGGTCTTGTCCGGAAATCAAAATTAACAATTTCGCGTCAGTTTAAAGAAATCATGTATTTCAACAAAACTATAAAAAGAAAAAACTTGTTGCTTTGGTAAAAAACTTGTTGCTTTGGTACGTCAGCTCGCTGGGTTTTGTCTAGGTTTATGACCTCATTTGGTGGGGGTGGCGCAGCCAAGTGTCAATATGCGATCGTCAGCGTCACCTGATTCATGACGGTGCGTCGCGGCCCTAACTGTGCTTTACTCCTCACTCTTAACGAGTTCCATAAAACTTCAAGCTTTTAGGTGCGTTTTTATGTCACCACCACAGGGAAAGTCCCAACTACGACGGGCACTAAGCTATATTAAGTTCAAGGCTGCCTGTACATAAAATTTGTGAGCAAATAAAAAGACTCATTATGCACGTCTTTGAGCTGTTGTTAAAGGGGCATAGTATTACTTTTAATTGTAAATTAACAAATAAATATATTTCATGTAATAACATAAAGTTGTTGAAATCACAAGTAACAGACATCTTCTAAACACCTTATGACAAAAATTATATTTTATATATAATTATGGTGTACGAATAAGTAGAAATACATATAAATCGCATATATACATATATACTTAGTTTAGCCGATGAGCCATTGAGCCAATGTCGAATAAATGTCCGGATAAATCTAGACTTAATTCCGTTTTTAACGGCCGATGCGAGTTCTCTGTATCGGAAAATATAAGTGGGATGGATACGTGTCGATTTAAAGATACGAATTTTGGTTCGGATTGTATCTTTTCAGATACAAATCGCATACCAAGCTTACTTTCCGCTGCGTTGCGAGTAGTAAATATCGCCCTACTTCGCATTTCTCATGAATTCATGATACTTAAAGTACAACATGATTTGCTTATACTTTTAATATTACCCAGTGTGTTCGAACGTATGTGAGTATGTATGTTGTTTTCACATGAAATGCAGGAAACATTTTTCGACGAATTCTTTATGAATTTCCTAAAATTGTATTTGGTTGCGACACTTTACGTTGAATTCTGTTTTATTGGACAGAAATGATCGATTTAAGTAGAATTAAGTCGTGTAGAATATGATTCATAGAAGGTCATAAAAAGTGCGCAGGTATCAAAGTCTCAGTGTCCACTTATTAAAATGAATAATTATTAGTACCGAAATTTAAATATTAAATAGACATTTATCATCGATTTAAATTGTTCTGCGCTCCAGCTAAAATGTATTTCCATATACTCTACAAGTATAAGGGAATTAAATACAGTATCTCATGAAAGTAAAAGTCATTCAATTCATATATTTATTCTTTCAGATAATTGGTTTTAGCCAGCGCAACTATAAATTGCTAAAAGTTTTTATAATTGTGTTGAGTTCAATGAATCTTGCTCAGAGATAATAATAAAATGCAAACGTGATTGCTTATAATCTAGGATGTATTGTATGATATGATACCCGTTCACGATATGCTATATGCACGTGTGTCAATGTTTGTGTCCATGTAGAACAATATGTGTGCATATGAAACAGAAAGTTTAGTTAAGATACTGCCGCCAAACGACAATATCTTATCCGTTAACTGCTATCAGCATACACAATCAGCTGTTGCTACTGCTGCTGCTGCTGGGCGGATCGCTGCTGTGGAGCTGGGAGGTCATGTTTGCCCTTTGGATCGATTGGCTACGTCATCGATAGACACGGGACAGATAAACGCCAAGAAAGAAACAAATATTACAGTGCAAAAGTTTAGCCGCAAGCCTTGTCTACATGTCAGCGGTATGTGAGCTGCGAGTATTTGCTTGGCTTTAGTCCACAGTTTGTCATGGGTGCGGATACGCATTTATGAATGAAATCTGTGCAGTCACACCTACAATGCTCTTTTTTTTATTTGATATTGGCTTTATGCATAATCGTGGCTCTTTTCCCTTTCGTTGGCGCTGGACTGACGAGGGGCGTAGCAAAAGGCAAGATCAAGCGCTACGATTAGATTTGCCAGCTACTCAAATTAATTAAGAGCCGCTCTGCAATGACTATTTCTAATAAAAAAAAAGTGTATATAACTATATTTATATATGGTCGGGCCGATAAGATGCCCGCTGGCAGCTGCATTTACAACTCCATTAAAGTGCCATCAACTAAATGGCCCAAGCCGCTTTGACCCTTAAGCTTATCAGAACTCAACGTCAACTGGCAACTGACAACTGGCAACTGTCAACTGGCGACGCGTGTCTAATAAAACTATCTGAGACTGAGTATCTAACCCGGCCCCGTGGACTATCGCAATCAATTGCAGCCGCCGCCGATGCCGCCATTGACCAACTGTTAACTGGTCCTCGATTGCGATTGGTTCGCGCTGCGCACTTCCGCTGCAGATTAGAGGCAACCCCCCCTGAGGCACTAAGGGTTGGCAATTGAATTTCATTCATAAAGCATTTCACTTCCACATCTGATGGGCTGGCTCATCCCTTGCGTGGCGAGGCGATAAGATTGACATAAATTTCACATTACTTTGGGCACAAGAAATATAAAAATAAAACACACGAAAAAATTGACCTTTTTTCATGAATGAAAGAACTGCGCGTGCTGTGTGCCGGACTCGTTGCCAAAGGACCCGAAGGATCTCTTCTGGTCTATGTGTGCGTGTTTTTATTTGAAGGTATTTAACGCCACCGCCACTATTTCGCTTTGGCCTCATAAAGATAAAACATCTTTCCACATTTAAGTTATTTTTTCAAATGCATTTATTTCGAAGGACAAAAAATGTCGCATTTGTGGAACTGCGTGCAAGCGGCTCGATGAGTCATTCATTATAAATCAATTTGTCTTATCTCAGTGACAATTGTCTCTGTCTGTCCCTCCAAAAGAATAAAAACGAAAAATCTGTTAGCTGCCGTTTTTATCCAAGCTAAATGGTTGAAATCGAATAGAATTCAATTCGCAGAGCATAATTGATCATAAACGATTTCTTATTAATATTTATGAAATGTTTCAAGACACTTTTCCCTTTTATAAATTGTGCTCTAACTTAGCAAATATTCTCAGCTCATTAACTTTAACGCACAATTGAGAATATTTACGACAATGCCATAAAAAGTTTATTGTCGCTTATCTGTAGATTGTCAACTTAATGAACCGGTGTGAGAAACCACTGAGATCTTTAGAGTGAGCATCTAAGAGTATCTTAAAGCTATAGATAAATTGATTAGAAATGGAACTTGGTTTTTTCTTTAATTTTATGCTAGATAATTAGATTTTAGTCTTAGAAAACCCGTTGCTGCAGTAATATCTTGATTTAAAAACTGAAACTAAATAGCCTATAAAATATGTAAGATATTTCGGAGTGCACAAATGCAAGATACATTTTTTTTTAATTAACCATTCAAAACTTAATGAATTCAATTCGGGAAAACAAAATTAAGCATTTATATATATAATTATCTAATATATATATATTTACTGACTTTTGAACACTTTTTTATTATATTATTATATTTAATTGTCGCATCTATACGAACCTTCAGCTGCATCTTGATGTCGACTATATCAACACTTTTGCAAACCATCAAGTGTTCGTTGCGTTGGCTCTCGACTATTGTTGTTTAGTTTTATCTAAGTTGCGTTTTTATCACTCGATTTTTTTGTTTTTAAAAATTATCACAAACACTGGTAAATTTTTTTTTTTTTTTTTTTTGTATGCTCCGGAAACACGCTGTTTATCGCCGCAGTTAGAAAAGCGCGCGCGTAGGAAAATGCTTTTTGTTTTTGTTATTTTTTTTAAAGTGGTAAAATTCAATTCAGTTCGGTGAAAATTGTGCGCAAGTTGTGTGGGCAAAATTGGTAGGGAAGGCTTTTGGCATCCGTAGAGCGTTTTCGTTGTTTCCCGCGCGGCATTTAATAATAATAATAAGTGCTATTTTTTTCGAGACCAACTCGAGCCCGGGCTGATGGCGACGACAACACCGATACCAACACCGATGTCGACGTCGATGTGGACGCAACGCATTGCGGTGCCTGCCGCGCTTAGCACCTTTACCTCAGCGCCCAATTATAAAACGCACACAGACGCAGTTTGCAGCGCTTCATTTAGAAGTATATAGCATATATAGCATATAGTGTGTGCGTGTGTGTTTGTGAGTTATGATTTATTTCTACACTCTTGCAGCGCTCTTGTAACTGTCGTTGTATTAGTGCTCTGGTATTGCTTATCTTATCGCCAGCGATAAGGTGTATATGGCTATGTGTGTGTGCGGGTGTGTGTATGTGTTTGTGTGTTTGTGTTTGTGTGAATAGCAAACAACAACAGGCAGCAACGACAACGTCGACGTTAGTTACTGTTGCCAGCGATAAGTATCTCTTAGATACAAATTGCTCAGAAACATTCCGTGGCGTCAACCAAATATTTAAGAGCCAGCCTAGACCAGACCAGACCAGGCCCATATGTAGCTTATGGACACGGCTCAGTTCCAGCTCCAGCCAGCACAACCGCTCCCCTTGGCACCCATTTCGATTCTATTGCAGGCCACCTATTTGTCGATTGTGCAATTTAGCTGGGCGCATTTTCTAATTGCAGTCGTAAAACACTTTTCTGGCAAACTAATAAACCGTACGCCAAGTTAGTCAACACATTTGGCTACACAATGGGCCTGGCACTCAGACACCTGTCCGGACCCGGGCATAAATTTATTTACGGTGTGGCCCCCTCCGGCTCTCAGAGTATGTGGGCAGCTTTGCTCCACTTCATAAATGTCTCAAGTGTTGAAACTAATGAAATTTGACGACAACAACAACAATCCTAGTGTGCTGTGTATACGAGCAAATGCAGATACTATTTATATACATACTTAAGCTCGTGCTTTGGCACGCATTATAAACACACGTGGCCGAGGATCAGGTGTGCTGAAATTGTGGCTAAGCTTCTAACCGAGACACTTGCTAAATGGGCTGAAATAATTGTACAATTTTTCTGAGCTTGATACCCTTTATTTTGGAAGATATGCATAGCTTATACCTTCAATTGCCATTTAATTATATGCATAATTACCCGTTCTTAGCCGTTGATATTTTCATATAGAAGTTGAGCGTGATATTTTATCTCCAGTCTCAATTGGCATCTACCAAATATTTGGCATCTGGTTTAGTTTTTGGTTCGCTTCATAGTACAAAACAAATCAGATTCTTTTGTGCGAACCGGAGCGACTTGATGTCAATATTGATTTTCATAGATATTTTAGAAGGCTGGAAACTTTTTTAATATAAAAAATTAAAATATAAAGATTCAAAACAATTTTTCACTATTAAGCAAATGTGCATAGAGTGTACAAATAATAAGAAAGAGTTTTGAGCAGTCGCTCTGGCGATATCTCAATCGTGCGCGATCCTGAGACATGAATGGTATCGTCTCAGGTTTTTTTATTGAGTAATAAAAAAAAAAAATTGTTTATGGTGCAATGAAATTTTAATTTTTATTTATTTATTTATTTACATGTAGTCTAGTAAAAGCTGTAGTTAACCTAAGGAAAATAAAGCGGTGGCTGCCGAAGCCTTTGGCAATATACAAGATCTATGTCTAATTTTGGTGTATATGTGCATGTTTTCTTATTCTAAAACAATATTTGATTTTTAAGTGAACTTTGAAAGTTAATATATCGCTAAGAGTGTAGTTGGAAAGTAAAGGGTGCATACGTTTTATTTATGCTGGGAATTTTTGATGAGGTGCTAGATATTACTTTGTTTCAGAAAAGTTATAATTGTGGACATCATTTATAGAGGAGGATCAGAAATATTTGTTATTGGGCTAATGTTATGAATAGGTGCGTGTCTATGGGTTTGTAAGGTGGAACATTAATTAAGATGGTGATATTTATATTACAAAATGGACATATGTTAGGAGTACGTGAGGTGTTCATGTCTTGTTTATTTCGTCCCGTCTGCTTATAAGAGAGTCAATGCCATCTGTTTATGAAAGAAAATCGTAAGCGTTTAACAAGTTGGGGTTAATATTTTGATACCATAATGACGAGCTTAATTAATTGGGGTTTTATACCGGTTCCTAAAATGTTTCATTATGTCAAATTTGTTAAGATTTTCGGTGCATTTCCTTCGCCTCTGTAGAATATTGAAAAAACCTTTTAAATGCGCAAAAGTCTCGAAAATTAATGGAGCATGCGTATTTATAAGTTAATAACTAGCACAAGAATTAATATCACGTTAGAAGCAAAGGTAAATATGGCTACACACGTTAATTTACCAAAAACCAGGTCTTGACAATATCATAAATTGTTTATAGTTGCCGCCATAAAGCAACCATATATATGACGGTCTTTAACAAGCCCCTTGTATAGTAGAGCGGAGCAGGGAGCCAGGAACGGGCGCACATAAATTAAATTTAATGAAAAATTAGCTGGCCAGGTTGTCGGTTTTATGCCGCTGCAATTACGAGCAGCTTTCTTTTTTTGCCAATGTGCACGCAGCCCGAGGAGATTCTAATTGTATGATGCATATAGGCTCTGATATCGCCTACAATGGCATTGCCTGATAAATTTAATTGTTTCGACTTGTGGCAAACATAAATCATGGGGCAAATCTTAAAAGCACAGCCAAAACAAAAGTATCTAATAGTTTGCCTGTTTAAAGTAGCCACACTCGAGGCATATGCCAAGATATGTAGCCGGAGCGTGTCACAGACTATCAACGCAGTGATTAATAACAAATGCGAAATGAAACTCAAAAAGCTGACAGCCTTCACCCGCCTGCACCGAACCGACAACTCTGACGTTGTTACAAATGGCGCAACATGAATTCAACATTACGATTAAGTCCAGAAGAGGAACGTCGCATGTGGCGCTATGGCATACTCTGAAACAGAGTCTGGCCAGTCGAACTATTGCTTTTGGTGTAAAGTCGTGCAATTAATACCCCAAAGCTGATGACACAGGCCGCCTAGCTTAAAATATTTAAGACCAAAATTTATGGCCATAAGACGCAAGACTTATTGGCGGCGCATACTAAGGAATTTATGGCGCTCGATTCTTCCAGTGGGGTTTTCTGACCAACACCCATATAAGTAGACACGATAGCATACAAGAGCTGTTCGTATCTTTCCTAGAATCACATTTGCTACCCTTCAACTTTTCCATGCAGTTTCAAGTGTTCTGCGCTCTGCAAAATGAAAACGAAACTCAGTTATCAGTGCTTCTTCGACTTTTGACAGTATCGACGATCAGTTGAAGAGCTGCTGACTTTTCGAAACCTAATTTATATATATATATATATATATATACATAGACACTCATATATATAAATACATATATATATAACGTACGGAACAATTGCTGCTTCAATTTGGTGAACTTGTTTTTACCATTCGCTTCTAATTATACCATAAACACCTGGCAAATGGCTAAAAGGGGTATGATGATTTTGTACAATAAGCCTCAAAAAGTGAAAAAGAAATATGCCAGAATTTTTGGAGGCTTGGCCAAGGCCCAAGGCTTTGGTATTTGAACACACATTTGTCATATGTCATATTTATGCGGTAATCATTTCAGAAGCAACAAAGTTAATCGAGAAAGCATTTCTCATAGCGGATGGATAGGGGAAGCAGTAATAGCACAGCCGCAGCATAAACTGTGGGTGCAAGCGTGGAAGATAGGGTATCTTCTAGTCGGTCAGTCTCGCTCTTACTTGTTTTTATTTTGGTTTTTTAGCGGTCGTCTGGGCAGCTGATAAGAAACTCCAAGAAAATTAAACGCCCAAAATGCGCACAAAGGCGCGGCATAGTTTTAATTACTTACTTATAGCTGAAAATTGGGAACAGCAACAAAATGTTGTGCCGCATTTCTATTTCCTTTTTTGTTTTTGTTCTTATTTTTTCATTAAATCCATGCCAGACTGCGGGGGATGGGCAACAAGAAGAGCAAGAACCACCACCAACGAGGAACAACCACCAATAAAGGCCATGGCTTTATGGCGTGGTTCAATCAAATTAAAATGGAAATTTTGTAATGGCGTCGTTGTTGCGTTTGGTTCGGTGAAAGTAAATTGAGTTCAAGTAATTTCTATTAACCTGCTATGCTCTTGGACCATAAATCATCCAAAGCACGCAATGAAAGCCACACGGCAGCCAACCACCAGCTACCGCTCATTTCAGTCTCAGTTGGACTTTTGAGTGGCAATTGACTTGAATATGTGGACGCCAGTTACTAAAATGTATCTATAGATACGTATACGAGTAAGTGCTCGGAACAATGTCTCACTGACCAAACGGAAAAGTTGAGGAAAGTTTCAGTTTATTAGCTTCAAAACTATTAAACGAATGGCCATGGTTAAAAGCTATATCATGAATTGGTGTAAAAGGGTAATATTTGGGGTGAATCAGGTCCCTATAAGGTGTTCGGCCAATCAATGCAACGTATACTAACAATTAAGGATCTAGGCGTTCTTTTTATACCCTTGCAGAGGGTATTATAACGCATAGAAGGAGACATCTCCGACCCGATAAAGTATATATATATTCTTGATCAGCATCAAGAAGCAACAGCATCGGCTGTTGAGCCGAGTCGATAAAGCCATGTCCGTCTGTCCGTCCGTCCATCTGTCTGTTTCTATGCGATCTAGTACCTCAGTTTTA